TATATATACCCATGACACATACCTGTTAGGCGTTCTGCGCAAAGCAGAGAACGCTTGGAGCCTGACATTCACTCTTCAATTGCGCTAGCCAGAAACGCCCATAATCTTGTTGAACTGACACCCACATACTCCACAACTTCTTCGCCATGGATTCAGGGAATTCTGATTCATTGGCGCACGACGCATGCACTGCATAGACAGGCGTCATATTCATCGGATCGGCATTTCTGACATCATTCACGATTTTTTGTGGATGCTCTCTGGGCACTTCTTCACTAGCAATCTTCGCTAGATCGATATTCCAAGCATCCACATTTGGCAACTGAGGCATCTTTGGTTGGGTCGCAGTTGATGATGTATCACCCGCTGCCAACGCCGCCTCAATATCTTTATGATTATAGTGATAATTGGGGCCACTGTAGTTCTTCCCCAATAAAACCCAGCATGGGTGCTTCCACTTAATCTGACCGTTGTCCAACATTGCCCTGTCCTCGTGTCCACCTTTGGTAGCCATAAAAAGTGGTAGATGTATTGGATCGTTTAGCATCGCCAGCATTCTGCAAATATTGGATAGTGAACGCCGAATGGCTGGGTTGTCTTTGACTAGATTGGTCGCGTTTACTACCGCCTTCTTGTTGTCAATTGAGGCCCGTGCTCTCTTATTGATCGGATCGTAAGACATAAATACCTGTTGCCAATGCGAGGCGTATACCAGTGTAGCGTGTGCTTTGTCATTGTCCTCAAGAACAGTGATCAATGCCGCTTTCGGCGCGCCAGAAGGAGGCCCATCCCACGCATACGTTTTAGACAGTTGATCGGGAACACATTTACTCGATTCAATATCAAGTCGTGTGGAGATTACAACACGGTTATTATCCATCTTCATACGACGTTGGTACTCAAACCACAAATTCACGGCATACTATTCGCAATGCAGATGCGGTAGTAGTTGGTCCAGCGACTGATAAACTTGGTGTTGCAGGTGCGGTAGTAGTTGGTTGTGGGGCAACGTCTGATACACTTGGTACGAGTGCGGTAGTAGATAGTTGTGGGGCGACGTCTAATACACTTTGTGTGGGTGCGGTAGTAGTTGGTTGTTGGGCAACAACGGCTGATACACTTGGTGCAGGTGCGGTAGCAGTTGGTTGTAGGGAAATGTCTGATTCACTTGATGTAGTTGCGGATTGCTTCAGTGTTGGCTGTTGTGCATATATTGTCGACAATAAACCATTGCGAAGAACCTCATAAGCAGGCATTGATTTAGCCTTACAGCGTTACTTCCTAGACTTTGGTTTTGTAATCATAAGTACGTCTGCCTCATTATCTTCTGTATCCAGCACTCCGCTATCATGCTCTCCCTCATTATGGTCTTCCCCATTATAATCACCTTTATCGATCACTCCGCTATCATGCTCTCCCTCATTATGGTCTCCCCCATTATACTCACCTGTATCGATCACTCCACTATCATGCTCTAGCTCATTATACTCTCCCTCATTATATCCTCCTGTATCGTGCTCTCCTACTTCATGTATTTCTTCATTAAACTCTTCCATATCGTGCTCTCCTACTCCATATGTTTCCTCATTAAGCTCTTCTGTATCGTGCTCTCCTACTTCATGCATTTTCTTAATCTGCTCTCCTATATCATGTTCGCCTACATCAAACCCAACTACTTCGTGCCTGAATAGGCCTACACCAGAGTCTTCCACTTCGTGAGGGCCGATACAAGGGTTGCGAGATGCATGAAAAGCTATTTCTCTACCCCGTTGATTTGGTGTACTGTGGTAATAGGTGTTGTGTGATGCACGATATTTTGTGTTGTGTGATTCACCATAATTGGTTTGGTGACCAACATTACCTGGTGCGACACAGAATTCTTCATCGTCGCTGCTCTCGCCCACATCACTTTGCACTACACCATCCTTAGAGAAGTCTAATATCTGCCCCATCACTTGACGATTACGTTCGCTGTTGGATATAGGCTTTAGAGATCGAACAGTCTACTAAAACGGCACAGTCATAGTCCTGTGAGACTGATTTTAGCGTTTCTTACTACTTGATCCAGTCTCGGCTGTATTGTATGCGACCTTGGTTTGCTCAACATTTGATGTATGCGCATGCGATGCATGCGATGCTTTGGACCCCATAATAATGCTGCGCATCTTTTACGCGCGATTGGTTATGGCCGCCATAATCGCTTGCTAAAGTATACACTCTTATTAGAACTATGGATGTAAATACCATTATGACATATTTCTTTACATTTATACATTGTTTGATAGTATGTGTGTCACAACACAGCACAACACAAACACAAACAAACAAGGCGGTTGTGTGCACGCAAGCTACTGTCCGTAGTACTTTGTTTGCAGAAGATTGTGATGTTTTTGTGGCGGGCCTGGTGTAGCCTATGAAACGAAACCAGACATCCCATCCCAATTGTACGTTTTCAAGCCCATTTCGCGAGTTTATGTACTATTTAGACCTATAACGTAAAACTCAAACGAAAGTGAAATGTTTTCGAGGGTCCTAGACCCTCAAAAAGTTGACCTGAGAAATAGACATCGTCCTCTTTTCCAAAATTCGTAACCGCGTATTCATTGGTCCACGCCTCTTTTTATTGGTGGGGCTTTTTTTTGGGATTGGTGGCCTAGGCCCTGGTGCATATCTGAGAAATGTTATTGAGTGTAGGCGAGGTCTCACACGGTCCTTGATGGTCCTTTTTAAATTTATCTGAGGTCTGTTTTAGCTTTACGGACCGGCTTGTGGGACTAGATCTTGTGTTTGAATTACAATATCTAATAGAAAACCCAGAAGACTTGTACCTTGAGATATGTTTATTGGTAAAAATATTCTGTTTTTATTCAGCATGTATTTTTAAAACCCTGAAACCCTAAACCTAACAGTGTTTGTTGTTCTATTTCCAGTGTATTTTTTTCTTTGTATTTCATCTGTCTTTTGAAGAAGACTGAATTTTTCACTTCAATACACTTGCGGTGCATTTGTAAATTGTACACTATCTATTCAAACTCACGCACAGACTGTACCTCTTGATCCAAATCAGCATTAGAACAGAGTAAAGAAGACGTGTAGAACCGGTTTTTTTGAAAAACCCACTAAACAAGAACAATTTGATTATATTAACAGATGACGGCTATGGATGTATGCGCAAAATAAAGAGCTTACATTCTGCTGTGCACGTATACACTCCGAGCCTCCGAGGCAGAGATTTCAAGCGCATGATACCCACATTCCAACAGATTAAACAAGATATTTAGAGCCGGTACTATTAGCTTTATTAACTTACTCATGTGCGTAGGATGGTTCCGGCACAACGGCGACGCATGATTCTTTGCATTACCAAAGAATGCGGAATATTAAGTTTACGCTTTAAGTGTATACGGTAAAGTCCAGGTCAGATTGTAAATTTCACGATTTTTTTTTGGATCGGCTCTTTATTTGCCACTTGATTTTTTTCTTTTTATAGCGCGCTAGCAATAATTTGTAGTTTCTGTCACTATTATATTTTCAGGTTGACCATGCTATGTTCGAGATTTTAGTGGCAGTTAATAGTAAATGATATATTTCTATGATTGTTCTATGTGATTCTAAATCTAAAGGGTACCCAGAGCGAATCCGTCTCGGGGCGTTATTTTTATCTGCGGAATACACATTTTAGAAGAATTACAGAAAAATATGAGATTCAGTTCTCAAAAAAATATGTGAGGAATAAGTCGACCGCTTTTATGATGGACGACTCGAGCGCAGGGAGGAAGTCCAGTACTGTATAATATCATACACTACGAGCGTATACAACATTTGTTGTGGCATTATGACGAATTAAGATATTGTACTTGAGTATACAGGCTTCTCAATCCAGAGACTCCAACCTCAAATCACTCATACATACGAAACCATCTCTTGGTCCTTGTGATCTACAAATACATCGAGGTGAGTGATTGTACATTAACGAGTATCATATACTTCGCTTTGACGATGCCATAATAAGCAGTCTCAATTACATATAAATACTTGAATGCATAGGACTCTCACAGCAACACAATCTCTAAAGAGATACCACCTCATGGCCTTTGTGATGCATGGATACAGCAAAGATGGGGATTGAGGTGATACTTTACGTTGATATGCATATCGGTCAGATGTTGTTTTGTTTAGCAATGATTGAGTTCAGAGTCCGATATATGGACGGTGCTCTTTAAATTCTTGCACAATCATGACATGTAACACCCGAAATACGGTGAAAGTCCACTGAATATGGAAAATATACGTACATAAATACATACATAGTATTGCTCTTTTATAGTATTGATGCGATTTTTTGATTACCGCCAAAAGCCCGTTGCTATGGATATTGATCCTGATAAAACCCTAAACCCAACCCAAAACGCACCATGTACTTCTATATATCTCGCTACCGCAAAATAGGTCAATAGTTTTAAAATTTATATGCAGTTGTAATATCTATAGTGAATACGTACAGATAGCTGTGCATATGTCAAGCTTTCTAAGCTAAGACCACGATTGAGAGGTTGATTATACGATCCACAGCGCAGTGGAAAACTATCCGTTAAACAACTGGGAACAACAGCCATCGCAAGGCAGAAACAACGTAAACCTAGCCCACACATCTGAAAGGTCGGTGGCATTTAAGGGTGATTAACTAAACGTGTATTGTTTCGGTTGTGTAATGCTATGGCCGTTTGGGTTCAAGCACCCATGTATCTCAATACGCATGGTGTACTATCCGTGTGTAAACAGTCGTGTATATTAGCACGATACCGGCCAACATATATAGCGTGCAGTATTCAAGTGTTTCACTTACTTTTGTACTAGCGTATAATACGTATCAGAGTATACATCGTCCAACTGTGATTACTTTCATATTTCAAAACAACAGTAACTAACAGTATTTTAATACAATAGTAACTAACAATATTTCAACACGATAGTAATTGACATACAGTTGCACGTGCTATTGTATCATGTACTACACTCTTTTCGTAGAGCTACATACTTAGATGTTCGTAAAGGATGCCCGTGAACTATGATGCATGTGCTAAGATGCGTGTGATATATGATTGTATACGATGGTCAAGTATGTGTGTTCATACCCCTGTACTTCAGTACAGTAACAATTGTCATATAAACCTCGATTGATGGTGTATTTTATCGATGACTACACTCTCGTGTGGGAAGTACTATGATGACCTATGAAGCACGTGCCATGTGCTATTTTGTCATCAGTAAGTATGCGTGTGTACATACCCCTGTAAGTACCCCGCCACTTCAGACGATATCGATTGATTATAGTTCACAGTTGCTGGTGTTGTTGGTTATTGTATACATTCGTACTACATGCCGTTAAGTGAACGCTCGGGATATAAAGTCTTCTCCCTCTGTGTGAACTGTAGTTTCACTCAAATTTACATAGTGTTATACTGGTCTAACATAGCACCCTGTTGTATTTCTGAAGTCATAGCCAATCCCCACTCTAATCATTTATAGTCATGATATGTGCATACACACAAACACACATATATACACACAGTCACACACACAGAGACACACACACCCGCGCACATATAAACAAACAGACACGCATAAACACACATAGCTATGCACACATCCGTATACAAACATCTGCCTGTTTTTAGGATAAAGATGTGTTTATAGAATCGTGGAATCGGATTTTGAATATCCTAATGAATGTCAAATATATGTACGTTTAAAGAGTGATCCATGAGTACTGCAATACATCCCAAAGACAAGTATGCTTCGCCTCACATCTCCAACACAGCAAACAGAGTAATGCATATGCGCGAATCGACGAGAATGTAGATACATATCCTCGTTCTTCTGTTGTATCTGAAGTTCTTCTGCTCCGCCTTTCAATGTGCTGTCAATGTGTTGGTTGTGCACAATGGCGTGCCTATACCATCCATCTATCTCTATCCCACAATACACATACCTACATCCTCATATGAATTTGGAATTTGAATTTGGAATCCGGCATATGTCTGTTTGTGCTCTTGCAGAAGTTCCTTTGTGCTCCTGGACATACCTACCAATCTGACACTTCTTAATAAGACAACATTGAATGACTAGACTAAAACTAGACTATAGGAAATCAATCCAGAATGTATACCAATTAAAGAAAGTGGTTATCTGTATGTGTGTACGTACGCGTACGAGTTCACCAATAGAATCCAAGTTTCCTTATCGTTACATATACACTTGTCTATACCTACATGCAAAAACATTGAACGTTGGAACATGCGCAGGATTGAGGTAGGGCTTTCTGTATTTCCTTGTACCTGTGTACCTTGTTGCTGCATCATATGTGGGGTTTTTATATTGGCATTGAAGAACAACCCGTTACTTTACACAAGGACAGTGTGTTTGTGTCGAGGTACTACTATACGTTTGTGTATAGCTGATGCGCTATATGTGTGCGTAGCAAAACGTCAGGGCAAGCCGTCACGGTACGCAAGTACAGTGTGTTCGTGGTGAGCTACTACTACGTATCCAATGTAGCAGATACACTACACACGTGTGTGTGGAAGAAGATCTGCACATACGCATACGTTGGTTGAAGCTAGAAAGCCAGGCTATCGAACGCAGCCCGTAACTCACATGCGGAGAGAGGAACATGTTTCCACCAGGACACTCTCACGGTTATGTGTGTAACAAAGGCATACACAGACAGGGTGCACCTTAGGGTTTTAGGGTTTACAAAACATGCAGATTGCATCTTACAAGCATTGTCCCTATAGTAGGATCAAAGTATTATCAATACGCATAGCCGTGGTGTGGTTGTCTGTGACACGCTGTGAGACTTGAGATATGTTTACTGGATAAGCACACAAGGTGTTGTCACAATACTCAGAACAAACCCCTGGTCATATCTCTCACGCGAGTAAGATACTGTCTACAGCTAGCTTACACTCCGGTTGATGCCAAATTCATAGGATCCAAGGTCCCTGTCTATTTCCGGAGTGTGATAATATCAGCTGTTTTGTTCACACCGCAGTCTATAAAAAAACGTTAAACAGGATGCAGAGCGACAACGAATATGTCTCCGCTGAGAGCGTTCAGGATGGGGTTTCTAGTCCAAAAAGTGCAAGTGAAAGTCAAACAGAGGCCATTAACAGCCCAAACATGGCAGGTACCAGCCCTAAAACGTTAAATTTAAGCCCTGCTAAGGTCAATATGAGTCCAAGTAAGGCAAGTCGTGGGACGTTTGTCGGGGGTACCATATTAAAGGTGTCACCAGCGGGCAAGGCCATGGGACAATTTCAGTCCGAAATCTGGAATGAGGACAACTCAACGGGAGGGTTTGTGGCGGAATGCGTTAAGGTGGGTATAGTCTGCAGCTCAGTTGGTGTGCCTATAGCGTGCATTAGGCTGCATGTATACGATTGTATCTGTGTAGTACGTGCCTACGAGTAGGGCTAGGGGGTGCGGTGTAACTTGATGGGCTGTGTATCTCTGGGACATGCATGTGTATTGTAAGCGTATGTGGGGGTATGCCAGGTTTCTGTATTACTTGTGATGTGTGCGCGTGTGTATGATGGGTCTGTGTATTCTTGGCAGTCTTTCAGCGCCGATGTCCACATGTAGTTCCGGAGGCTATAGTACGGGTGTCGCAACACATACTGTAATATCACCCAGTTACTTTCGCCTTCGAAGTACAATTAACCGGACGTTGCAGCAGAACCAGGTAGTTGCTAATGCACCCGTTGTATCGCCTTTTATCTAGGCCAAAGAGCTGAAAGACCTGCCCAAAACCTCCATCAAGGACCGCAGTGGCCCCAATTTGCTGATGTGGTTGCATGACAACCCCACCACAAAGTACGCGCACACCATCACACACCCCTCGCGCTACGGGCTACCAGATGCCCAGGATACACAGAAGGACGTCACATTCGTACCCTTCAACATAGAAACAGACAGGTAACTGTAGCCTATGTATATAAAAGACCGGTTTGATTGTGTGATCACTTGTGGCTATAGGTCTTGTGTGTGTGTGTGTACATGTGTGGTGTGATTTGTATATGGCGGCTGTGGGTGTGGGTTGGTATTGTGTATATATATTTGTACTAATACGGCGTTGTTTGTTAATTGGATATATATATATATATATACACACACATATATACACAC